TGTTAAATAGCATAATGGATCTGAACATATAATCCTCCACCAAATAAAGCATAAGGTAATCAACTACAAGATGTAATCAACACTACTTGTCACCCACAAACACCAATCTATAGTTTTGGTACAAAGATTGAACACAAGAGATGAACTAGGGTTTGAGAGGAGTTGGTGTTGTTGAAGATGTTGACGAAGATAGCCCTCCCCAAGATGGGAGAGTTGTTGGTGATGATGATGACTATAATTTCCCCCTCCGGGAGGGAAGTTCCCCCGGCGAAATCGCTCTGCTACAGGGCAAAAGTGCTCCTGCCCAAGTTCCGTCTCGAGACGGTGGCGCTTCGTCCCGAAAGTCCTCTCCTGATTTTTTTTCTAGGTCAAAATGACTTATATACCAGAAGAGGGGCACCGGAGGTGGGCCGAGGAGGGCAACACCCACCAGGGCGCGCCTGGGCCTCCTGGCGCGCCGAGGTGGTTGTGCCCACATGGTGGCCCCCTCTGGTACTTATTTGCTCCAATAATTCTTAAATATTCCATAAAAAATCCTTGGGAAGTTTCAGCTCATTTGGAGTTGTGCAGAATAGGTAGCTTGACGTAGCTTTTTCAGGTCCGGGTTTCCAGCTGCCAGAATTCTCCCCCTTTGTGCATACCTTGCATATTATGAGAAAAAAGGCATTAGAATTACTCCAAAAGCATTATTATATAATAAAACAACATAAATAACCATAGTAAAACATGGTGCAAAATGGACGTATCGACGACCCCGTCGACTGGGAGTCGTTGTTGCGCGAGACAAGGGTGACGAGGAGCTTGACGTCAGCATGGTGCTGCGCTGGTAGCGGCTTGCCAAGGGGGAAAGCGGAAGCACTGCCTCCGCGCCATCCCTCGTCACCCCGCAAATACAATGCAGGCAACTATGCCGGTCGTTGCATCCCCGTAGCTCAAGGTCCCCTTGCCCCTCTTCGAGCTCTCCTCTCCTTGCTCCTGCTAGCGTCCCCGGCCATTGATGGGTCTAGATGCCTGCACCAGCGCCACCATGGATATAGATGCTCGAATCCATGGCGCGCGCCGCATGCCACGAGAGGTAGCGGGGAGGGAGAGGGCGGTGGTGACGGAGGAAGCGGTGTCCACCCGCTGGTCTCCTCACAGCAGTCATCCACCACTCGCTCACCATGGCGGAGACCAACGTGGGGTGTCTCTGCCGCAAGAACGCCATGGCACTCCGGCTCGCCAGCGAGCAGTCGGAGCGCGAGGCAAGGAAGGATGCGGCGGCCAAAGCCAAGGCTGCCCGACTAGCAAGGAGGGGTGCGCAGTCCATCGGATGGCCGGCATCATCTCCTCCTCCGGCGACTCCGTCATCTGGATGAGGACGACTCTGCCTCATGCCACCGACACCTACACGAAGGGGTGCAATCACACCGGCGACCGTAAGGGGAAGGGGCTGGCAAGGAAATGGTGATTTCCTCCGTCATTCCCCGTCTTTGTTTTTTTGTAAAGAGAGCGAACTCTCTGATTTTCATATATATCAGAAACCACATTTTCTGTTACAAACTACTAGGGGCCTTGCTAGAGAACGACGCAAACGATGCACGACCTAGGAAGCTGAAGCAACCGAGCAAAGCACCCGCACAACAACACAAGACACAAAGCAAAATATCCCCTGAACGAAGCTACAACCTAGCCTACAGAGTGCAGTAGGAAGTGTGTTCTATATTACAGACCAGAGATAACCAGACTAAAACAACGAAAGAGGGATAAACGACCATCAACGTCGAGACTCCAGCAAACGAAGACTTCAAAGCCAGGCGAGATGGACACATCTTCATCCCGCAGTGATTGTATGCATGTTCTTCCAGGCCAGCATGGCTTTGAAAACATCTCCAACAATCATATCAAATTTTCTTACGCCCTCCTTCATTAGCCTTCGTTTTTCTGGATTTATATGCAGAACAAGCAAACCATGCAACAACTTAACAATCAAATTAACATGCACACAAGGGTTATCACCTTGTTGTTATCAAATATCACTTCATTTCTCATTTTCCAGATAGTTCAACATACAACAGAAAGCCCAACAATTACCATATTCTTTTCCTATTTTTTAAAGGATGTCAGCCATACATTAAACAAATCTCTGATATTGTAAGGAATTTAAGAGAAGTTAAAAAGCACAACCGACAATGTTCCAAAGAAACCTAGCTATTGAACATCTCAAGAAAAAGATGATCAATGTTTTCTTCTTGCATACAGAATGGACAACGGACATTGCCTGTCACCCTTCCACCCTCTCCTATGCAAATTATCTCTAGTTAAGATGATGTTCCTAAGTACCAGCCATATGAATACTTTCACCCTAGGGGGAATTTTTGGTCCACATAAAGGCATGTGGGTATTTAATACCATTCTCAATCAAATATCTATAATAGGATTTCACGGTGTAGATCCCATTTTTATTAAGCATCCATTTAATCGTATCTCTCTGTGTAGATAGCCATTTGAGCACAACACTCTTTTATGTGGGTCCACAGTTCTAGAGGGTGTCCCTATAAAGTTCTTTGAAACTGGACTACGTCCAGCCCTTTATCAATCATTTGTTTAAGTGACTTGTTCTTGTAAAAACACAAATTATACAGACGGGGGGAATTGTGTTTAAGAGATTTATTCCCTAGCCATCCGTCTTCTCACAGTCTAATACTTTCCCCATTTGTAACCTCAAATTTACACAGAGAGAGGAAATGTTCTTTGTGCTTAATAAGCTCATACCAGAACTGGGAATTCCCCTGTATGAACTTGCAATTAGCTAGTTTTTTATTCTTACATTATTTGCTAGTGAGCATTTCCTGCCATAAGCCTTCAATATTAAACAACTTCCACCACAGTTTTCATAATAAGGCAACATTCATTACTTTCACGTTTTGTATCCCCAAACTCCCTGTCTTTGTTTATATTTAGCTCTCTTAGTATGAATCTTGTCATGTCATGTCCTCTCCTGTTTGGCTTGAACTGATATATCTTTTTGGTTATATGAACAATGCTTGTTTGTTAGCATGAACTATGTCATTTTTGTTGCTAAGTGTGTTGATGTGTGTAGTTGCTAGTATGTTGCATGTGTAGCATGGCTTTGGGGACTGATACATGGAAGCTGACCTCCTCGCCTCCACCAAGCCATCGTTAGCGATGTCCTTCCGGGGAAGTTTACCCGTGGTGGAGGGCCTTCCCAGCACGCCCGCCCTCTCTACCTCCTCTTTCCCATCTCATTCGCTTTATGGTCGGCGTGACCGGGTGCACTGTCGTGCGGTTGGTAGCATGGCTGCTTGCGATCTATTGCAAGCGGATGAGGCCTGGCTGTAGGATGCTATACATGGCCAATCTGTGGAGTGTGGCCTACTCGTTGTTCATGTGGTGTTCCATCAGCTGCAACTTTGATCTGGTGCGACATTGGCTTCCTTCTGGTCGATGGCTAGGTTGGTCTCCACATGTTATGGCTTATGGGGCAACATTGGGTGGCAGTAGTGATTGCGTCATGTGTGGTTGACTACTGACGGCGATGTCCCTGTCAGATCTGGCATGCGGTGATGCCTAGACGGTGGACACAAGGTATGTGACAATGATGGATTACCATGAGTATGGCACATGTATGCTCGACTCCTTGCATGATGACAACGATCACAAGGCATGCGGTGGCGGTCGGATGACACAAGCGTCACACTAAGTGGCGGCGGCGGGTGATCAGGCTCTGATGAGGCTTCCCTGCCAGTTTCGCTACCTGAATACTCGGCGTTGTGTCTGGAACTGTCTCCAACGAATTTTGGGGAAGATGGGACGGGGCTGTCGGATGGACCCGTATGGGTCATGGCGGCTCTGGTGGCTTTAGGTGTGCAGTTTTGTGTCCAAACATTGCCGAGTTGAGGCCACCGGATCACCCCTTCAGTGGGGCATTGGTGGCATTGGTAACGTTGTTGATCCTGATGGACGTGCTCTGATCTACTCCACATAAACATGGTATGTTTTGTTCTTGTGGTGATGTCCATGTTATGGATGTGAATGTGTACGGCTGTCAAGGCGTCACGATCTGGCTTGCAGCGGCGACTTCTTCATTGAAAATGGGGTCGATAGTACATGGAAGTTTGGTGGTGCTTTTAAGCGCATGGTCTCGTGTTCCGAAGTGAAAACTCTAGGTCTCACCTACGTTGGTTGTACCCGACAATGATGGTGTTCGACTTCCTACCCTTTTTGGAGGCATTTGCATGTAGTTTGCTCAGAATTATTTTCCAGGGTGAAAACCCAAAATCTAGCCTCCATGGGTGGATATGGCAATTGACGGTGTTCTCGTGTTGTCCCCTTCTTGCAATCATCGATGTTGAAGCACTTTTCTCGTAGTCCGGAGTTCTGTCATCAGTGGTGGTTGTTGTTGAAGCTTGCAACTGCATGCTTGAGTTCGCTTCAACATGACATTCAGATGCCGCTTTCAACTTTTCTTTTCTCAGTGTGAGGCTGTGCGCGCGTTGGTCTTGACTATGTGCATTCTAATTTTACGTAGGTTAAGTGTGTGTTTATTATGCTTGTATATTTTTATGCGGCATTATGAATCAATAAAGTTTGCCTTTTTATGAAAATATAAACAATGAAAGCTGACCTCCTAAACTCGTTTTCCTCTCCAAGAACTATTATTTATTTATCCAAAGAAATAAACTATGCTGATGCCCTCCCACTTCCGTTCACTATCACAGATTTCCTCCAGCAAACACACTGTCACGGAAAAAGTCGGCTCCTGACCAGCGAACGGAAATGCAACTCTTGACCAGCGACTGAGCCGACTCGCCCAGCCGGAAAGAAGCTCGGCCCCGGCCCCCGGGGCGGGCTCGGGCTGCCCGGGCCCGCGCCAAATCCTCCTCTCCCTCGCTATCGCCGCACGTAATCAATCCTCTCTTGCTCCTTCCCGCTCGTCTCGGCTAGCGCGCGTGCCTCGCTCCCCTGTCCACCACAGATTCCACACCCCGCCGTACGCGATGCCGCAGCTGAGCCTGAGCACCAACGTGCCGGTGGACGCCGTCGTCGCCGCCGACATCCTCCGGGACTGCTCCAGGGCGCTCGCCAGGATCATCGGCAAGCCAGAATCCGTAACCCCCAACTCCTAGACCCCTCCCTTCCCCGGCGCGCGCTCCGTCTGCTCGACGGAATGCCTTCCCGACTCAGACTGCGTTGCTGACCCGCTGCCCTTTGTGGCGCAGTACGTGACGGTGTCGATCGACGGGTCGGTGCCGACGTCGTTCGCCGGGAGCGAGGAGCCCGCGGCGTACGGGGAGATCATGTCCATCGGGGGCCTGGGTCCCGGCGTCAACGGCAAGCTCAGCGCCGCCCTCGCCGACATCCTCGAGGCCAAGCTCTCCATCAGCGCCAGCAGGTTCTACGTCAAGTTCGACGATGTCCAGGTACGCACGCACATTGATCCTCCTCCGCGCCCCACCCCAGAACCCACGTTGCACGGATACTTAGATACGTATCGGATACATGATACGGGGATACGCCTGATACGCCAATTGTCTGAGAACATGGATACGGGGACACGTTTAATTATTAAAAATATTGAAGAAAATAGAGCTTCTAAGTCATCAAAGCATGCCTCAATAGGATTATTACCTTTGTTTTCTTGCACTTGGTCCACTTCCATTAATTGACAGTGGATTTTCTTAAGTTTATTCTTTCAATCAGTGCATCGACTCTCACTTGCTCACCTTTCAATTAAACAAGAATATTGACAATCATGTTTTGGCATGAACTCGCGCCCATGTTAGGAATCTTTCAAAAGTGCGTCTTTACTATTGAGGGAATTTCACGTCAAACGAGGGACCTCAGGTATCCAAAACGTATCACAGAAGTATCCTAGGAGTATCAAAAATTATTTAAAAAAAATAAAAAATCAAGGGATACTTATGAGATACGGTATCGGGGCAGTATCTGAGTATCGGGGCAGTATACGGCTGGATACGCGTACTTTCTGAAGTATCCGTGCAACATAGCCCAGAACTCTACTCACACCGTCACAGGATCGTTCTTTTCATCGGGAGTAAATCTGTATTTGACTTCTTTTTTTGTCATGTGATGTTCCTCGTTTTGGTGCTGCAGGGGTACAATGTGGGCTTCAACGGAACCACGTTCTAAGACAAATCCATCAGAAGAAAGATGTTGGCGACAGTAGTGAACCAGTACCATACCATGCCCCACTGTGTATCATCTGCATCTTGGATTTTCGTCAGTTAATATTTCTCGCATATCTGAAGTACTAGTGCTGTGATTTCAAGTCAACAGAATGCAAGTTCTGCTTTTGTTTGCTTATTTGTTCAGTATAAAAACAAAGTGAAAACAATCCAACCACTCCATTGAGGGCTTGAGAGTTCAGAATTCTTCGGATGAGTTCTTTCCCAGGGGAACAGGAGTAATAACTTTGACCACCATAGCATCAGCACATTCAGTGTATACATAATACATTGCAGGTTGGGGAGTGGGGGGTGGGAGGGGGGGAGGGCAGAGTTTATACTTTTTAAGCCAAACAGAAAAAAAAACAGAAAACACCATACAAACTGCAATTTTCTAGCTCTTGAAGAAACAAGACAAATTTGAAGGTAGAAGCAAAACAAGGTCACTTGAAAGTTTAGACCTCCTTACATAGAGCAGCTTCTAAAATTACAACTTACAATCATGGGGAAAAGGGAATATTACAACTTACACAAGCTTCTTCATAACCCAATTCTTAATAAACCGAATTCCGCTTCTACAACACAGTAGTCCATATACATAGAGCAGTGTCTAAGATTACAAACTTACAATCAGGGGAAAAAAGAGAGAAGATTACAACTTACACAAGCTTCTTCATAACCAGATTCTTGATAACCGAATTCCGTTTCTACAACACAGTAGTCTATATATACTAGCAAGTACTGATCCACAGCTAGAGAAATCCATACGCCGTTTATTGTGCACATATTTACATAAACAGGTCACTCGACGGCATTGCGATAATTGCATTAAAGCTTTATATGAAGAACGAACATGTGAAGACCCTGGTGTGGCACACTGCTCTCACATGTTCATTCCTGCTTGTCACATATTCACCATCCTGGCGGCCTCAGGGTGATACTGGAGCATCTCCTGCCACAACATTTCTCGGATCATATCTGTGCCAATGTTTTCATCTATGTCGAGATCGATGGGCACCTGAGCAGGAGGGTTTGCGCTGGGATCATACAGCGGGGACATGTAGGGGTGCTCCAGAGCCTGGGTGACACTGATCCTCTTGGAAGGGTCAAAGACCAGCATCTTCTGCAACAGATCAATGGCAAGAGGATGGGCGTGCGGGTACATGATACTGAGGGGCATCCCCGGGGTGTATGGAAGGGATTTAATGTAGTTGCGAGCTTTTGGGTTGTCAATGAACGCAAGGTCAGTCTCGCTCATGGTGCCAAGAACATTGACTATAAGCTTAAGCTGATTAAGGCACTCGGTTCCTGGAAAGATCGGCTTGCGGCCAAGTAGCTCAGCAAAGATGCAGCCAACAGACCAGACATCTATGGAGGTGCCATAGTTGTCGCAGCAGAGGAGCAGCTCGGGAGCTCTGTACCAGCGGGTGACAACGTATTCGGTCATAAACTGACCTTTAGTGTTATTTGTGCGAGCCAGACCAAAGTCACAGATCTTCAGGTCACAGTTCGCATTGACCAGAAGGTTCCCAGGCTTCAGGTCTCTATGGAGTATCCCCGCTGAATGAAGGTACTTCAGTCCTCGGAGCAGCTACAGTCAAGGAAAATAGTGGGGTCTTAGATTATTGATTGATCGACAAATATGAGAGAAAAAGGATCAGCAGAAAAAGGAGAAGATGGCATGGTAACAAACAAGACTAATCTGTAGGACAACTATTTAATTATCGGTCCAATGCAAGATGCTCAAGTTCAGTTTCTACATAGTTTTCCTCAAATAATTTACAGAGGCTCAAGTTATAGGTTCATGCAAATACCATATGCATGTCTGCTGTGTATTAGGTTGCTTTTAAGAAATGCACTTCCAGGGCACAAGCACCATTAGGGAGCAGCTATAGAAGCTAAGCTACTACTAGACATATTCAAATTGACATGTGCTTCTTCCATAAATTAGCAGATTGTTCTTTGGCAACTTAACTAGTTAAAACCCAACAGCTTTAGATAGATCATAAACTTAATGCAAATTAGTACGAACTGCAAAAACAACATTATACTGGCGTACACCTGAAGCATGAACAAACTAGCTTATGTCAGAATGGTGAACAGATGAAAGACTACATGGATAAGCGTTATGCAAAGGTAAGAATGAAAAACAGAGCCGATGCATACCTGAAAAAGGAAATACTGGCAGTGGTCATTGGACAGCGGCTGAGACGACTTGACTATCTGATGCAGATCCGTGTCCATGAGCTCGGAGACCAAGTAGACATCCTTGAAGCTCCTCCTATGTATCGGCATCATTATATCCTTCAAGGCAATGACATTCTCATGGCGCAGGTGCCGAAGGAGCTTCAGCTCGCGCAGCGTCCTCAGCGCATCCACGCGGTTGTCAAAGACGTTGTTTATCTTCTTGATGGCGACCTTCTCGTTGGTCTCCTGGTTGATCGAGGAGCAAACTATCCCGTAGGCTCCTCTCCCGATGGGCTTGATCGGCACGTACTTGGTGTCGATCTCGAACATGGTCTGCCACATGGTGTAGTAGTGCTTCCCGTGGTTTCCCATGCCATTCGGGGGATCCACCATCATCGCCATTTTCTGCGGAGAAGAAGGAAACATAGAGTTACCAGTCTATTAATTGAGAACAAAGGAAGCATAACAAGGAAAAAGTTTACTAGTTTAGGGTGCCAATTTAATTTTGCCAAGTCTTATCAGCTTGACCCATGGTACTAACAGTCTCTGTTTCCACCCCACACACAAGTCATCATCACCCTAACACAAGTGTCTAACAGGCTAACACGGTGAGCGACGCTCATCCGCCTTGGCCAATTTAATTTTGCCAAGTCTTATGAGCTTGACCTTTTCCATGGCACAACTACTAGCAGCATGTGTTTCCACCCCCACAATTTTATCCTCAACCTAACACCAGTGTCTGCCTAACACTGTTTGTTTGACTGACCCAGTCCCAGTGGTGTGTTTTGAAACGAATCAGAGCCACCCTCTGACCCCAAGCCCAGCGGCCAGCGCAGCACAATCCAAAGCTGGGCGCTGCAATCCGCCGCCGAATCGGACCGAATCGGCCGCATTTCGACGCAACTCCTCCCGGCTGCCCCTAACACGAGCATCCTACCGGCGACCGGAGCCGGAAGCAAACCCAATTCGCCACCCGCATGCATAAGCTCTTGCTTTGCTTCGCCTCAAGAAAGGGAACGAAAATGGAGGAGGAGGGGGCGAGCCCCCCGCCCCGTGTGCGGGCGGGATCGATCACTCACCTCAGGACGCGGCAGCAGCAGCGTCGGCGGCGGATCTGGAGAAGCAGAGCACGTCCGGGAGCGGGGGAGGAAGGGGGTGGGGAGCGCACGCGGAGACGGAGGCAGGGGCAGAGGGCGACCGAGCAGGAGGGCTCTCTGTCTATTTTTTATTTCGGGGAAGGAAGGAAGGAACGAACGAACGTACGCACGCACGTAGCTCCACTGGACTTGTGGGAGTGGTGACGAGGAGATGGCGATGGATGGGTGCCGCTCAGGTACAGCGAAGGGGCGGGCAGCTAGCGATGGAACACGCGGCAGGCTGAGGAAGATGATGAGGAAGGCCTCATGTGGCCGCCCTATATATACCCGCCGCCCTGCCCACATGGCCGGCCTCGGGACACATGGCCGTCGCCGCTCCTCGGGACCGGGATCGAGACCAATCGACGAGGCGACCCTGCTTCATCATCGTCCTTCCGGTCCGGGTAAGCCGCCCACCGGCTTTCCGGCAACGCATCGCACGTGCGCGCCCGGCCCCGCCCCCGCGTAGCGTGCGGCGCTGGGGCGACGGCTCGGAACTAGCGTGCGTGCGTGGCCGGCGTCGGGCGGGGCTACGAGGGCGCGCTGGGCTCGGGCGGTAGAGTAAAATGTGGGTCGTTTTCCGGATCGGTGCAGTAGTTGGGTTGCTTTGCCGGCGCGCGCGCCTTTCCTCTCCCCGTTGAGCCAGCCAGCGGCAGAGGCGCGTATGGACGTGATTGACGCCAGGGATGTCATGGCATGCATGGTTTCGCCGCGTGATGCGGGTTCGGCGAGTTTATCGTCCTAGATATTTGGGGTCATGTCCATGATGATGAGTCAGTGGTTACGCTTAACCACTCGGCTTCCCGATTATAGTTAGCGCTGCAGATATTGTATTATTTGATCAACTTTGGGCCACCACGTCTTGCGAGGTCAGCTGCCTAATTTTGTTTGGACATTTTGAGTCCTGGAGGATTTTTTTTACTCTAGTGCTTTCTCTTTTGAATGAGAAAAATAGCGTGTTAAGGGCATCTCCGGCGATCCGTAAATTTCCTCCCGCACCTGTCAGCGGACAGGGACTACGGAGGAGTTACGCCAGGGCTGCCATGCCATGCATGGTTTCACCGCGTTATGCGGGTTCGGTGAGTTTATCGTCCTAGATATTTGGGGGTCATGCCCATGATGATCAGTTAGTGGTTACGCTTACGCACTCGGCTACCCGAATCCATGATGATCAGTCAGTGGTCACACTTACGCACTCGGCTGCTCGATTACTGTTTAAGTGCTGCCAGATACTGTATTCTTTGGTCATCTTCGGTTATCCTCCAACTTTGGGCCACCAAGTCTTGCGAGGTCAACTGCTTAAATTTGTTTGGTCATTTTGAGTCCTGGAGGTTCTTTTAGCTCTGGTGTTTTTTTTCAATGAGAAAAATAGCGCGTTAAGGGCATCTCTGGCGACCCTCAAATCCCCCCTCACCTGTCCACGGACAGGGACTACGGAGGAGTGATGCCAGGGCTACCATGGCTTGCATGGTTTCGCCGCGTGATACTGGTTCAGCGAGTTTATCGTCCTAGATATTTAGGGGTCATATCCATGATGACCAGTCAGTGGTTACGCTTACCCACTCGGCTGCCTGAATCCATGATGACCAGTCAATGGTTACGCTTACGCACTCGGCTGCCCAATTATAGTTTAAGCGCTGCCAAATATCGTATTCTTTGATCATCTTGGGTTATCCTCC